CTTAAACGAAAACTGGCCTAAAACAAGGTTTACATACCACTAGGAAGATTCCCAAGAAAAGAACAGGTACAAGATGGGGCACTGTCCATGTGAGATTCCATAGTGAACAGAGTAGAAGGGATATAGGGAGAGAGGAGCAACTGGCCTTTATTAAGAGCAGACACATTGCCTCCATTACAGAAGAGATTGTGCAACAGTTGACAGAAGAAATGTAGAGTTGGTGATGACAAGTCCAGGGAATTCGTCATGGAAACAAATATGCTCCTTTACTAGGATTAGTATAGAAACAGAAAAAAAAAAAAAAAAAAAAGGAATGTCTCCATTTTTATTTGAAAGAATTCATATTAAAATGAAGCACTTATAGTGTCTCATTTTTCTTAAATGCAGACTTTCATTTACCAAGAAGGTAAGAATTCATCCGGAGTATTTTTATTTTCAATTTAATTATTCTCAATCTGAAAATTATCTGATTCACTGTAGTTTTAATGGCACTCAAAATATTTTAAACAATAAAGTTTATTTTCTTGCCTTATTTCTTTACACATTCATTGGCACAACTCTGAAAAAACTAAGTCATAAAAATAGAAGGTTGCTGATTACATGGCGATTACAGCAGCTGGGTAACCATGTACTAATGCTACAGAAGGCAGCAGTTAATTGAGAGACTAAAGTTACTTGGAGTACAAATGGAAGTTTGAAATGTGAAATCTGTTGGTTTTAGATCAAAGAGTTTTTATCTTCACTAATCATACTTCCAATTATTTTGATTTCTGATATGAGATATATTTAAGACTCTTCATAAGAAAAAAAGTACAATGTGTATAGTTTTATCAAATCATGGGAATTAATCAGTGGAAGTTAGATTAGCAAATTCACTTCTTTAGTTAAAACACACACACACACACAAAAAAAAAAACAAATCAAGGCTTGAGCCTACTTGTCCTCTCTTTAATTTTATGCAACCCTTTGAGGCCTTAAAATTTAAAACCTGTTTTTAGACATAAAAGTTCTGTTATTTTAAATATGTTTTAATCAACTTGTGACTTCAGTAAACTTATTTAAAGAAAAACTTTTCTATTTATAAAGGTAATACATGTTGCTTCAGAAAATACTGAATAGTATAAATAATATGAAAGCACCCATAATTTCATCACTCAGAGTACATTATTGTTAAGATGTCTGTGTATGGCCTTCCAAACCTTTAAAAAAATGAACATATATATACACATATATATGTGTGTGTGTGTGTATGTTTCTAATAAGAAAAATCAAAATATTACACATATACAGACAACATATGCTGTTTAATTTTGGAATTCTTAGTTTACCTTTTCTCCATATAATAATGTTCTTCATGTCAAAACAGACTACATCTTCATTTTTAACAGACCCTAAGTATGCTGATATAAGGATACAATGTAATCCCCCATCAAAGGGCGTGTAGGTATTAGTTAACTTTTAAGAGTGGTAGGTTCATGAAAAAGAAAGTGGATGTTTAAATCTTATGTTCAAATAGGTTTCTTCTCTTACAAAGCTCGCACATAGGCCGGGCGCAGTGGCTCATGCCTGTAACCCAGCACTTTGGGAGGCCAAGGCGGGTGGATCACCTGAGGTCGGGAGTTCAAGACCAGCCTGACCAACATGGAGAAACCCTGTCTCTACTAAAAATATTGAATTAAGGTATTGAATTAAGGAATTGATAATAGCTGGGCATGGTGGCACATGCCTGTAATCCCAACTACTAGGGAGGCTGAGGCAGGAGAATCACTTGAACCCAGGAGGCGGAGGTTGCTGTGAGCTGAGATTACGCCATTGCACTCCAGCCTGGGCAACAAGAGCGAAACTCCGTCTCAAAAAAAAAAAAAAAGCTCACACATAGATCCAGACTAAGACTAAGAGGTTGCCTTATTGTTACTTTATGAGATAAAATTAGTTTTAAAATTAACTAGTTCATTTTATTATTTATCATTATCTGATAATATATGACTTTTATAATTTCAATGAAATAATCATAAATTATGATAATTGGTTTAAACAAACACATACCCACATTATAAATTGGTAGTAATTTCTGGAGCAATAAAGAGTTGATGAAAAGTTCCTACCAATTTCATATACATACTCAAAGTAGTCATGTGCTAAATAAAAGCATACATTTAGATTAGCTGAGTAAAAAGTACTGACTGTATGTTTTAAGCATATTATACTTCAGAATCACATCTTTAACCTAGATAAAGTTGTGAAGCTGGAAACAATGCTTCTAACATTCTGAGGTACCATGTCACTGAAAAATTGTCCTTGCTGTTTTGAATCTGCCTTTGGAAGGCAACTGTATAAAAATAAAGGATTATCAGAAAGTTACTTCCATTAGGAACACTAAACACTTAGCATGTACAACCAGCAAGTTTGAAAATCAATTAAGTCATTAGGGAAATGCAAATTAAAACCAAAATGAAATACTACTTAACAACCACTAAAATGGGTGTACTAAAAAAGACAGTAACAATGGTTGGTGAGGATACTAAGAAACTGGAAGCCTCACATATTTCTGATGAGAAGGTAAAATGGCACAATTTTGGAAAACAGCTTGGTAATTTCTTAAAAACAAATATAAACTTACCATACAACCCAGTGGTTCCACTCCTAGGAATCTACTCAAGAGAAATAAAAACACATGTCTACACAAAAATTTGTATGTGAATGTTCACAGCAGCATTATTCATAATAGGCAAACATGGGAAACAACCCAAATGTCCATCAACTGATGAATGGAAACAATATGTGGCATATCCTTAAAATGGAATATTATTCAACAATAAAAAGGAACAAAATACTGATATAGCCTACGATATGAAGAATTTCAAAAATGTTACACAAAGTAAAAGCCAGAAATAAAAGATTACATACTATATAATTCTATTAATATAAAATGCCCAGAAAAAGTAGCAAGATTAACTTTCTAATAACCACCACCACTATCATCTTTATTCAGCATCAATATATTCCAGTATTTTGTATCTTAAAAGCTTACTAGCAAATGTCAACATCAGTGACTATCATCTTGACTTATACATCAACATTTTACTTGATATAGTTTTAACCAAAAAAACACAAACAAAACAAAACAAAAAAAACAGTTATAAATTCACTAGGATTTATCCAGTTTATACACAGGTCAAATGCTTTAAAAACTATCTCTCTGGCTCCTTGACTTTGGTACATTTTAATTTTCAGTATCTCCACTCAAAATGGGCAAGGTAGAAGAAAACTGTCAAATTCTGTAGTATAGCAACTAATGATAAAAGCATAATTAACAAAACACTTTTAAGAAATACGTATATTCAAGTGATCCACAAATGACCAAGAGTTGTCTATGAAAAACAAGATTCATTCTAATTTCTCTCAACTTCTTTAAAAAATACAGAAGATATTTTGTCTGAAAGACTAGAGTAGTAAGAATTGATATATACTAGCCTATTAATAGCATACATCTTTGAGAAAGTTTACTTTCTTCTACACTAGAATGTGTTTTGCCAATAGAATGACATTCTGTTTTTAGTGTAGTGTTTAGAGGCTTTCTGGTGACTGACAGGATTTTAAAGACCTGGAACTATATCTGAATTGTAAGGTTAAGAACTGAAAAAAAAAGGGCTGGGTGAGGCGGCTGTAATCCCAGCACTTTGGGAGGCCAAGGAGGATGGATCACTTGAGGTCAAGAGTTCGAGACCAGCCTGGCACACATGGAGAAACCCCGTCTCTACTAAAAATACAAAAAATTAGCCAGGTGTGGTGGCGGGTGCCTGTGATCCCAGCTACTCGGGAGGCGGAGGCTGGAGAATCTCTTGAACCTGGGACGGGGGGATTGCAGTGAGCCAAGATCGCACCATTGCACTCTAGCCTGGGCAACAAGAGTGAAACTCCATCTCAAAAAGAAAAAAAAAAAAGCAAAAATTAGCCAGGAGTGATGGTGTGTGCCTGTAGTTCCAGCAACTCAGGAGGCTGAGGTACCAGAATCACTTGAACCTGGGAGGCAGAGGTTGCAGTGAGCCAAGATTGTGCCACTGCACTACAGCCTGGACAGAATGAGACTCCACAAAAAAAAAAAGAGTTTAAAGAAGATTCAGAAAATGTGAATGGCTTTGCTGAGCCAGAACACTAACAAAATACTACTTAGCCCAGGAAAGAGATATTTTGTAAAAAAAAATGTTTGCAAACTTTTTGCGCTATGTGCATTTTAAACTATAATAATGCAATTAAAAATATAAAGTAGGAAATCTTAAAAGATATATTCTAACACTGTAATTGGAAAACTCCTAAGAAAAGGTGTTAAAAACCAAGAAGGATGTTAAGTGAGCTTCTGTAACTGTACCAACCTTAACTGCAAAACTGATGAAGACCTAAGGTACCCAAAATGGAATGCACATGATCTCAGGGGGCATAAAAATCCATTGAGGTGCTTGTTAGACTTACAGAACTATCACAAGAATTTTTCTGACAGTAAAAACTTAGGGGAAGAATACGTAAGGACCTTGGTCAAAAGGGATTTTTGTAAACAGGATAATTTCCTATCAAATGGAATCATTTTGGCTTATCAAGAATGCCTGTAAGTTTGACTTTAGTTCTTCACAAGTACATATATGGTGTATACCAATAACAAAATTTCACTAATTTGCTAGCATCCACTATCATTAAATTAATGCATTCTTAATTACCTTAAACCTAAAGAAGCTTTTTTATTGAATTAAGGTATTGATAATGGCTGTGTTGTTGGAAATAACCCCACAGTGAATGGCAGCAGGTATAATTTAGATCAGAAAATGCAGTAGAGGAAATTTGACAATTTTTTAAAGAGCTGAAGAAATTTGGATGTTTTAAAGTTATAAGAATCAAGAATAAAATATGGGGCATAAATTGAGGAATAAATCATAACACATTCCAAAGCTTTTGCTATTTCAACATTTTGAAAGAAACAGTTAAAGAAGGTTTAATTCTAACATTACCGTCGAAGCAGATGGTGGATCTGGTGACTGTCCTTCACGGTTCCTTGTGTGCTGGTTTAACCCACTGGGATTTGAAGACGGTGTTGTAGGAAGCTGGGTACTGGCTGCAGGTTGCTGAGATGACTCTACTTTGTGGCTCTTATCTGAGCCATCCAATCTGCTACTTCTCTCTATGGCAATCAGGTCACGAATTTTTTGCAGCTGCTCCACTGAAGCTTTTTTAGGAAAGATGAGATGTGTTTCTCCCTGGAATTTATAAAATTAGAAAAAATGTGAACCTTTGCTTTATGCAGTCATTCTTTTGTGCATACACACATACACACAAAGAGAGAGACGTATAATGAAACCAATAGTATAGAATGCATGTTTCTAAAATCATACTGTTTTCTTACCACTATTGTTATTTTTAAATACAGTCTAAGGTAAATAATGCCTAAACATAAACCAGAAAATTATTAAAAAATTTATCTCCTTTTGGGCATTTAATCTTTAGCCTATTTAATGTGGTTCAAAGGACCTTCAGGAAAAAATATTTGATCTTCTAGAAACAGTAAGTCAGATGGCCTCATAACGGTTGCAAAAATGTATATTCCTATCCTCTCTGCAACAGTATATGATACTAGTACTCTCTATGAAATTTCATATGAAATAATAATGACAGTAGAGATACAGCCACACAAAAGAATCCCGGGTCACATAAAACCAACAAGAAGTTATCTAACAACCTTTGAATCTTGTTAATCCGAGTCTTTAAAGAATAGCTACGTGATTAGAAGTCTGTGTATGGGGTCCACTAATTTTTCCAAGGTAACAAAAAGTACACCCTGATAGTCAATCCAAAAGTATGGATGGTTAACAGTAATATAAAAGTAATCTGAACAAAACAAAAAAAATAAAAACCATGTCTTTGAGTAATGATTGATTTAAAGAATACCTATAAATACGCTGAGAATGCTTTAAAATAAAATGCTACAACAAATTCTATAATATAAAACAGTAAATTACAAAACAAGAAAAAAGGTGAAATGAAATGACAATGTATTCGATCAAATTTCTGGATATTGAGAACAAACAAGGTTAAAACAGTAATTTCTCCAACTGCAAATGAGATAAAAAGTTGCAGCTGGGCATGGTGGCTCATGCCTGTAATCCCAGCACTTTGGGAGGCCCAGATGGGTGAATTACCTGAAGTCAGGGGTTCGAGACCAGCCTGGTCAACATAGCAAAAACCCTGTCTCTACCAAAAATACAAAAATGAGCCGGGTGTGGTGGCAGGTGCCTATAATCCCAGCTACTTGGGAGGCTGAGGCAGGAGAATTGCTCAAACCTGGGAGGCAGGGGTTGCAATGAGCTAAGATCACACCACTGCACTCCAGCCTAGCTGACAGAGCGGGCTCAGTCTCAAAAA